CAAGAATGAGCAGACTGAGATTCAAGCCATTTTAAGAGAAACACGTGGTGTGTGACGTGTCTTCAAAGTTCGCGTCCTCGATTATGGATACTGTTACTAAAAGAGCTATTTATGTCTTTAGACTCGCAGTCCTTGTGGTGTTCTTTTTAACATCGTATATACTGAAATTGTCAAAGAGGACTACAGTGTATGACGAGCATGATAATAGTTACATGAACAAGGTGACCCACCTGTCGCGTGCGTAACGATACCTTTTTTCGAAGTATGGTGCAGCACAGAGCTGCATACCATGGCCCAATGAATGGAGGCATGCGCCATTTTTTTATTCACAGTCCTAATCAGCCTTGGAAGAACGATAACAAACATCAGAAATCGGGACGCAATAGCGTCAAGGAACCAAGTCTCAAAAAGTAATTTGTTGGAATCTGCGGCCTTATTGTTCGAAGAAAAATTCCCATGGACGCAAGTAGTAACCATACCTATTTAAACCAGAATTAAAAGCGTCCATTCTGCGTGACAGTCAAGTGCTCTACCAAAAAGCCCGTGCTCCTTTGAAAGAAACAACTTTCAAAGAAACACCTCGTAGAAGCGACAGGTCAAGAGGTTGTTTTGTGATTGCAGTGTTGGCTATACGGTTTCATATCAACGCAATCGACATTACATACACTCCTGCGAGTATGCAAGATTATGGGTATTATCCTATCGGCATCATTTAATACAATAAAATAAACAGATCTTTGCACCGTAACGTCGACTTTATTTCGACATAACTGACGTCTGTACTCTGCCCTGATGTCATTAACGATGTACATAGGATATTAAGGTAATCTTGAGGCGCAAGTGTATTCTATGTGCCCGGTAATATCACAATATGCGCACTACACAAAGTACGCAAAAACACTGATACATCTCAGAACGCCTGGTTCAGCAAAAGTTACTGTATTGAAACCTCTTCACTGTCTGTTCAGAAGGATATTGAGTCCCTCGATATGTAGTATATGGCGGAGTTTTATTTCTCTCTCTTCTTCTGTTCAATCTGGGTGCCTAACAGTGAGCCCGTTCGAAGGTGCTGCTTCCACATACGCGTGCCAGTGTAGTAGCGTGGTATTTTGATATTTTGAGAGCTTCCGTTTACAAGCAGGGAACGCTAGCATCTAAGTATAGTTTGTTGCTGAAACTATAGCGGTTGAAGTGTCTATTCAAGGTGCTTACAAATGGCTCCTTAACAACTTTTTTCATTCTGGTAGATGAAATTTAGCCAGTTAAAAATACTATAAAATTACCTAACTGAAGGGTATTCACTGAAATAGGCACACTATAAACTAAATTGTGCACTTAAAGCAGTATGATCACAGCAAGACATTTTGGTTGAGCGAAAATTTGCAAAAGTTCGGATGCAAAGGTGGTTTCTTTCTACAAATAGCCTCTAAGGGGTGACGTTCTCGATAAAACACTTTTTAGAAGTTGGAGATGTCATGGGTTGTCGAGCTCCACCGTGGTGGTCTAGTGGCTAAGGTACTCTGCTGCTGACCCGCAGGTGGCGGGATCGAATCCCGGCTGCGGCGGCTGCATTTCCGATGAAGGCGAAAATGTTGTAGGCCCGTGTGCTCAGATTTGGGTGCACGTTAAAGAACTCCAGGTGGTCAAATATCCGGAGTCCTCAACTACGGCGTCTCTCATAATCATATGGTTGTTTTGGAACGTTAAACCCCACAAATGAATCAATCATGGGTTGTCGAAACACTCATCACCTATACGAAAGCATGCCAGACGCTGGATCGTGCTGTTTAAAAAGCCGTCAGATCTCAGGCAATTTTATGTTAAAAGATATGTCTCTTTTACGGCTATCTACAAGCATTCAATAAATTTGCACATACACTCCCAATGTTTATTATTATATATATGAAAAAAGAATATCCTCACCGGCACTGAAGGCCAGCTTACGATACTTTAGCTATATATACAAGATGGTCAGTGTAAGGTGGTGTAGCGCGAACACTGCGTCCATTGAGCATTTTACAATATGCGCCTGTGTGCATGGTTTCACGCGTGCGTGCATTCTGTAGGCTGATTTCATCGGTGATTGCATGTTTCCTAACTGGTAGGTTTTCTGTATCATTTTTTTCAGTGAGAAGGGTGTGTAAGTCAGTAGAAACACCCCATAACAACAGTATTAGGCCAGTGGCAACATCATTTCGTAAGCATGATTTGATTCGTGAAATCCTTCTTTTTGAAAGGTGTAGGAATGTATAGATATAAACATGGCAAAATCCCCTTAAATGTCAAAACTGGTTTGTGTTGCAGCTCCTATCTTGAAGTGTAAACGACACATACTACGGCCCCTTCGCGGACTGCCAAACCTTTCTTTTATTATCTTGGTGTCAGTGGTTGGGAGAACCTGTACAATCGAGAGAGAGAGATTGGAGGAGACGAAAATAAAAGGACGCTATTTTCTGCTTACCATCATTGGGGGGGGGGGGGGGGGGGGGGGGGGGAGCACGGCTCATTGCCTTTAGGAATGGGAAAAGAGAAACTAAAATTGATATATTGATATAAAGAAAGTGAGAAGATAGCGAGAAGGGGTGAGTAGATGGCATGAGAGTATCTTGTCAGTCCAAGCGGGAGGATGAACGTAAGTCGTTCGTCTATAGAGCGTTGAACTTCGCAAAAGCCACGAAGTCGAGAAAAGCTGGTAAGTTTGGTATCCTGCATCATGCGGGAAAGAGGAAAAGTCTTCTACAGTTGTCGCAGGTAGGCCAAGCAGGCAGTAGCGGTGCACCATATCGCATCGTTCACCGGTCAGAGTTAGTCGGTTCTCTCTCTTGTTCCTCATTACGGTAGCCTTTGTATGGTGCGTACATTGCGTACATTACCACGCACTCCAAGAAATAGTGAACTGGAATGTGATATTGCTTTTTAGATGCGAACCAGCTCTTTCAATCACGTGTGTAACGCCGTAGGTAAGTGTGCGTGTACGAACCCGGCACAACGCGTTCCTCTCGCCGCGAGTGTTAGAGCGGTGCCAAGTAGGTCACGCCGCAGCTTCGCGTTGATATCACGCTCCACTGCCACGCATCCTTCGCAGGTACGTTCTCACATCACGCTGTCTCTCACCCGCAGCACGCTCGCCGAACACCCGCAGCAGCCGGCTCCAGTGCCCACTCGCAACACATGCTCTGTGGCTTCCCCCTCTCCACCGCTCGCAACACTCCACAGCACGTCAAGTGGAAACGCTCTTTCTGCTCGTTTATCTGCGATGAAACTTGCAACACGAAACCCAACCCATCCCTCGTGTTTTGAGTTTAAAACAAATGTTTACTCGAGTAAACGCCACACTGAGTTTCGCTTCAAAGTATTCTTCAAGCACCCTCGTCGACACCCGATTCAATCGGGTCAACGCTGCGCGCACCGCTGCTGCTTCGCATCTGATCAGTCTTCCCATCTGGGAGATAATTTTTTTTTCTGTTTTTTAACGCTATCGCGTTATATTTGTTTCGCTGATACTCCAGTGTCGTTGTCGAATTTGTTGTTTGTGAGTAAAAAAATTATAGTTTTCGTAGTGACAAAAAAATTGGCCAAAAATGCAAATAAAATTAGAATAGTCGTTCGAGTGAGAATCCAACCCAGGCCATCAGCGTGAAACGCATATGTGCTACCCCAGAGCCACCGGATTGGTTTAAACTGCTTAAAAAAAGCACGACATGAATATCACGAGGGGAAAGCAGTCTCTTTATTGCATGAAAGATTGATAGTAGGTAGGGTTGAAGGGACCCCACGGTGTAGTGCTCCGGAAATATTGACCATCTGGGGCTGGCATCACCCGATACACTAAACACGTGTAGGATTGCATTACAAAAGCAGCTAATTGCGCCAGGTTACAAAACAAGTGAATTGTAGGGAGTGCGTTTTTTAGACGCCCTCTAGTCAGAACGCTCTAAGACATATTTAGACATAATTAGCCCCTAAAGCCTCAACAAAGGGACACGCTGAATAGGTTCGCGTGTTGCCTTACGTGCGTGTAGTGGGGCTTTCGCATATTCCCAAAAGGAAAAAAAAATTGACGCAGTCGGCACTCAACTGTTTTCGCAGTAGAAATTCTCAGACAATTTTAAACGCTCATTTCTACATGCACAGTAGTTAGATACCTTTCCGCAAGGTTGAGGAATGCAACAAGAACCCAAGATTTTCTAGCACTCAAGCAGACAATGCACACAAGGCCCAAAAGCGCGATCAGGTTCTACTCTTGATCGCAAAGCTCACTTGTCCGCTAGGTTTCTTTTTATAATGATTTCTGTCACCAATTGACTGTGAAAGTCCTTTATGTCGTTGTAAATATGTCCTCTGAAGGTGTTATTGGCCCTCATGTATGCATTCGACTAAAAATTAACTTAACACGATACAAATTTTAAAGGCTGGAAAGAAAAGGTACACGCAGCAGTGAGCCCTAAATATTCAGATTTCAGTCCATCAGTACTGTACCACTGGGCCCACTTTCAGACATTGTTACGGATTTTTAGCCGGCACAACACATACATAACTAAAATTCTTCCCGTTTTGCCACAGAAGGCAATAAAATAGCAACCTGGTCAAAATTAACAACTAAATCACCTAGCAATGTTTCGAGACTGGCGCATTTTCAGGTAAATCTATACAAGCAGCACGTCAGTTATTACTGACCGAATGAACAGCATTCAAATTGAATGCGTTTTGTTCCCTGAGCCACTATCTCTTAACTCAAGATCTTTACAGTAATGAATTGAATGCACTTATGTCGTGACTACAGCTGATATCTAGAAACAGACGTATATACATCAACAGGCATATGTTGTGGTCATTGAGGTCAAAATGGGGCCAGCTGCATGTGCAGCGTAAGCATATTACCAAGTTCTGGAGGATACTATAAAGGGCACCCGGTCAGCTTGCCTGCAAACGCGAAATAAAAAGTGGAGAAGTAAAACGAACGCTTCGGGGCTTCCAGTTAAAAGAAATAAAGACAAAGCTTTTCACAGCAACAACTTATTTATTCGTCCGATGACATAGCTGCTGAATATTAAAACATGAAAATATTATCAAAAGCTTGATTGACCTGTGCTCTATAGACAGAATGTTGCAGCTGATGATAAACCCTTAGTTCCATCACTTTAGTTTCTGTGCAATCCCATAATGCGGCTAAATGATGTTATTATGATAAAATGCTGTTGAAAAAATTGTGTCCTCATTAGCGGTGGAGGCCTACGCCCGAGAGACTCACTCCTGCCGCCTTTCCGTATGACGACTGTCCGAATCCTGCCTGATGACCAGCGGCACCTCCCTGGAAACCGGAGGAACCCTGGTTGTGGCCAGTTCCGAAGCTCTTGCTGTCACTAGCGGAGAAGCCCGAGCTGTGGCTGTAGCCTTGGTTGTTGTTGTAGGCGTTCACAGTCCTGTGGGAAGAACCACCGGTGAAGGCACCGGATCCCTGATTGTGTCCCGCAGCGCCCTTCTTGAAGCCTCCCTGGTGTCCTCCAGCTGTGGAACCATAGCCCGACTGGAAGCCTCCGCCGACTCCATGACCCACGCCAACACCGTGTCCAATCCCGGCTCCGACAAGGCCAGGGTTACCGACGACTCCACCACCGATAAGACCGGGTCTTCCAAGTCCAACGCCTGCGAGACCAGGACCGACTCCAGCGCCATAACCACCAAGGCCTCCTAGGACGCCGCCACGTCCCTCCACGTCTTTCTGATCTTCCTTCTTATCGTCCTTCTTGGTGGCCTCCTCAGCCAAGGCCGTGCAAGCCACGAGGGCTAGCATAGCACTTACGATGAAGAACTGTATGTCGAGAAAGAAAAACACTTTCCTGTAACCACGTGACGATAGCACATACAATGCATCGGCGCTGGAAACAAGAACATGAAGTTTGCACCTCCTCATGAAGGCGCTCTATGCCCACGTTGTAAATCACCGAAATCTTGCGCTGCATTGGCTGCATTGGCTGTACAAGCAATAACACGAAGCTCGCAACTCCCCACTAAGAGCAACTGGTGGCCAAGCTGTAAAATATCCCCATTTCCTGCTTTGTGAACTCTCAGGCTTTTTTTGTTAGAGCACCAGCTATGATTGAATCATGCCACGGCAGTTTTTGTGTTGTGATGGCAAGTCACTGAGAGGCTTTTCTAATAATTATAGAGGCTCTATGCACGCCACTGCTCCAGCAACTGGGTGCAACTCTGCTATTCGGAAAATTGCACCAGTTGTTCACACCTTGATAAATGATTTCTGCAGAGCTCGACAATGTCGATGGTAGAAAATGCTATCTATAGCACGTTTATCTTCACCAGAATAAAAAAGCTTTTGACCCATATTGTGCAGATCTAACTTGGTACCGAACGTAATTACCATGTTGCTGTTGCTTTACCTTTCATATAATTAAATGATTATAAAAAACATGGCTGATCCTCTATATCAGAATCGGCATAATACGAATGTGAACCGTGTCTTTGCACAGCAGTTTAGGGTTTATTTTTCATTTTTCATCAACAGCAACAAATTGCAAAGTCACATTTGGAACGAGAAGCAGCTTGAAACTTGCAGTGTACTCAAGCAAAAATTACGCACGAAATGAGCATACACTGGACGAGCGCGGACAAACAACTGTCACAGCTCGACACTTGAAGCGTGCTAAATAGAGAGATATCTGAAGTTTAACGTCTGAAAACCACCATAATATTATGAAAGACGCCGTAGTGGAGGGCTCCGGAAATCTTGATCTTCTGGGGTTCTTTAACGTGCCCCCAAATCTGGGCACACTGGCACACAGCATTTTCGTCTGCATTGAAAATTCAGCCATCGCAGCCGACATTCGATACCGCGACCTGCAGGTCAGCAGCCGAGTACTTTACCCACTAGATCACCGCAGTGGAGCCCCTTAAAGCAATCTGCTCAAACAGAAAGACGCTTGAAAAGGGCACACAGGTATGCACAAGACAAATGCGAACAACCGTTACAATAATTCCTGCATCGTGTGTCAGGAGCATGTTTCTTTCTCAAACGCGGCCGTGGCAGCGTGTGAAGTTACTGTCGTCCTCTCCCAAATTACGCAGGAGACACCACGCTCCATGGAGGTGGCGCTTCGTGGATACGACGACCTTTAAAGCGCGTTCAACACGAACTTGTCGCGCCATCTCGCCACTCATAACAAAACCACACAAAAGTTTCGAAATTCTGAGGACTTTCAAACGGTGTACGTTGTATATTTATGGCTAGCCGGTAGCATTGTACACAACTTGTGCTTTGTGGCATATTGGCTAGTGCTGCGCGCTGAGAGAGTCGAGAGATTCCTGGTTGGAGATGCCCAAAATATGCCTAATTGCTACTTTTTTTTCTTTGCGTTCTATCAGTATAGATTTTTCAAAGTAACTTCCGTAACAGAAGTACGTCAGCTGAGCCATGGTGGACGTCGGCATAGCACTTTCGCTTTCAAATGAGATATGTAGAGATGAAAGCGCCAACTTCACGCCTCCTCTAAACAAAAACATTAAGGAAAAACACCAGTATTTTGCAGGAACTTTTTCTTTTTTGCCGCTCATGAAAACCATTTGAGTAACTTGAGAGTCTACAGTTATAATCTCCCTAGCAAGAATTAGAATGTTCAAATGACAAACTCGAAGACGATAGCTTTAAATTCATCAGTTAAACATAAGTTATTTCTGGTAAATTGACCAGAACTCCTTGTATTCTGACTATTCAGAATACACCAGCTTTTTAAAGTTAGGTACATTTAAGCTCAAGAAAAAAGTGGTGGAATAAGAAAACCAAGTGTATAGTTACCTTCATTTGGGTACAGGAGATGCAGCGAGACACGACAAGACCTTGTTGTATCGGACTCGAGTATCACTGGCGAGTGATTTGCTGTGCCACTACGCTGGATCCTTTTTATACCTATTCAGAGAGAACGGAGGGGGTTAGGAAAAAGTTGGACGCTGTAACATGACAGGTCACCACGTGTTTCAATCGTCAATGGCAACAAACACAACCGCAATAGAAGGCCGGTCGCGCTTACTAGCACTCCGTTTAAGCTCCGTTGCAGTAGAAAATTTCAGCGTTTTCTTTCGTTCGCAGAAGTGCAACCACCCATCTCGCTCTCGTCTTTCATCATGGCCTTTCTTCGATAATGCGTGCCTTGCACAGCAATATCAGTGCCTTCGTCCTTGAAGTCCGGAAAGGGAAGTGGGACAACGTCAGAAAATGCGTCGGGTTATTATCGCGTTCTATGTGCAATTTTCGTAACAAAATTTCTAAGAAACTTTAATTAAACGTTGCAGCATATTCTTTTGAAATGATGTCAACTGGCTGATTGAATATTTTCACTTGGCGTCATCGTTTTTTTGCGTAATTCAGAAGCAATTGAACTGGCTTTGATTGCGCAATCTTGTTTTGCTTGTCTTTACTTCTCCGTGTTTCCGCATAAACGATTGCCAGTTACCGCTACGTTCTTTGAGCTCTCTTCTGGCCGAAAAATTTTGAACATGAAATAGAACAAACAGCAAGCATCATTTTTTGGATATTATGATGTTTGGACATGCGAATGAAGCGTAATCAACGACTGGCGGTTCGATACGTTTGGTTAATGCTCGCATTTGTTTTTTTAGCTTTTGTATATGTGTTTCCGGCACGATCTTTTGCTTTTGCTAGAGGGTTCCTTCGCACACTCGTTTAAACTATGCCCATTTTGTTTCTATAAAATTTTTAAATCATTATTTGCTGTACACCTAGCTTTCCAGCAATTGACCGACAGTGTGTTTTGTTACGACAAACCGGAAAACAATACTGATTGTTGGCCTAGTTGGTACTTGCTTACTGACATGCTTTGACCGCAATTAACATAAACACAAAGTAAAGAAACACTCAACGACAAGCACAAGCTTTGAGCGTTTCTTTACTTTGTGTTTGTGTTGAATGCGGCCAAAGCATGTCAGTAAACCGGAAAACCACTGACTTTTTCAGGACCTTTAGCTATTATTTTTGATTATTTGCCGATGGTTAGCATTCAGCACTTATAGAATCGCAATCTTGCAAGCGTGCCTAAAAGCACGTTCTTTGGAAAGAGCTTGTTGTTGCAGCAAGTGATGAGCTGATAACAAAATTGCCCTTGTTCAAAAAAAATAGCTGCGTTACTACTTTTAAACACAACATAGCATCGAAACCCGCCAAGAAGGTTGCACGCATTGCACGGCGAACTCCAACGGAAACCCAAGAAGGGGCCGTCAATGAGAAGTGAATTTTTAAGCGAAGCTTCTATTGACTGACTTGTGAATGTGGTGTTCTAAAAAACCGTCCATGCCCAGAGCTAGGGCACACCAAAAAATTATAAGTAAAATATTTTGCTTTTTCGAGCTGGGGTTTGACCTATGTCCTCCCGTTCCCAAATGGTGCGCCCTCAGCATTAGGTCCCACACCCATCCGTATTTGCCTAGCGTGAACTGAACCGAAACCCACTGCACTGCAAAAAAGAATCGTTTTGCATCATCGTTCTACCAGGGATGAAATTAACAACTGGGAGCAGCCTACTTGCTATAAGCACTTCTTTGCAATGTTTCGTGTTGGCTGACTTTAAGTGACCTGTTTCACAACGTGTAAGTTCGATGTCAGGAGTCCACATTTCATCGAAATTCCGGCTTCGGGAACATTGTTTACGAAATCGAAGTTTCATGAACTGGTGGTGCCTTTTTCGTGGGGCCGTTATAGAGGCCGGAGGAACCTGCCGAGTGGTTTAGCTGATATAGTGTCCGCGGAAATCATTCCCGGCCTTGACGGTAGCATTTTCGTGGAGGCGAATTGCTAGAGGCTCGCATACTAATGCACCTTAATATTATTTTACGTGCACGCGTACATGCTGCTAAGCATAATTTAGGAGTACATTTAAGAACCCCAGGTGGTGGAAATTTCTGGAGCCCACCACTACAATGCCTCACAGGATCATATGATGGGTTTCGAACGTAAAACGCCAACGATCATCGTCATAGCCAGTGACCAACACAGGCTAACACATAAAACACACAATGCCTATTCAGCCAGAAAACAGCGTTCTGGGGACAGCCTGAATGCATACATTAGGAGTAAGAACAGCTGCCTGCGCAAGCGGTAAAAAAATAGGAAAAAAAGGCATTACAAGAATTGGAACAAAGAAACTCAATTGGTTAGACCTACCAAGGCCAATCATTCCTTGCCCCCATTTTCCTGACATAAAAGGAATTCGTGATATGTGAGTGCGTGCGTGCGTGCGTGCGTGTGTGTGTGTGTGTTTGTGTGTGTGTGTGTGTGTGTGTGTGTGTGTGTGTTTGTGTGTGTGTGTGTGAGCGCTATACAGGCGAAGAGGCATTTGAAGCCATGAAATCATTGACTACCATGCAAATTGCCTGGTTTAAAATTCTTTTCACGGCCATTAGACTGGTGGTCTCATGTTTTGAAAATCCCTTTGTCATCTAAGGAATTGACGATGCTCACATGTATCTGACAGTATATACGTATACGGCATGATCACAGCTGATAAATATTTCTACCCATTAAAAAGCACTACTGAAATAATTTATTGTTAGCATTTAATGTTAACAATTATTTTTATGGCCTTCTCTCAACCGAGAAATGGACAGTAGAAGACACGTAAAGAAGTAGTGCACACGGGCACGCTATATTGAACGGATGCACGCCGTGGAGAACGTTGTCTATGTCGACGGAAAGGAGGGTGAACTGTCTGAGAAGCCTGGATCAGTATTGCCAAGCCTCGAGAGCCACCTGAGCTGCAGATTCGGTGAGCTGTCATCTGCCCACACTGCGCAGTCGTCCAGTTCCACCTACTCCGCGGTGAGCTGCCGGGACTGGTCAGCGCGTGCGACGCCGACCTCTAACGAGACCGAGCTCAAAGCTGCCCGTCCGCTTCGCAACAGCGCATGAACCAAGGTATTCTGGGGCGTGCCAGGAGCGCCTGCCTGCAGTGGTTGTGAACAGGACAACGACATGCGAACATCTCGTATCATGCGCGCAAAGACAGGAAGACGGACGCGGTGAGCGATGATAGTGTGGCAGCGCTACCGATAATCGTCGCCCTCGATCCCGTTTGTGCCATAGACGTGTCTAGACTTGTGAAAAGGAACATATGTGGAATATTGCCACGATAGGACGTGATATTTAGTTTGGGGGTTTTTAGGTGTTCATATTCTTCTGTCTGTTAGATATATGTTTAGTTCAGTGGAATTAAAGTGTTTTTGTGCCACAACGTGTCTTTTTTATGCGTCCATCCTGCTGTCTCGGAGAAACTGAGCCGGGCTCTAGCAACTTCGTGACCATCTCCTTTGAGTATTTTCTAATTTATGGTAGTTGCCTAAAATGTACAATAATACTCTGTGATAAAAGATTTTTCTGGAAGGCTGCTGTGGGGCGGCATGGCGTATTTTAACTTCTTTCTGGCGTCCGTCAGCGTCTGGAACCATGAAACGGTATCACATACAGACATTATACCGAAACGCGTGTGAGGGCTAAAATCTCCGAAAATTAAACATTTTCACGTCGCGTTCAAAATCCTCTACGTCGGCTTCACGTGTATTACATGGGAATTCAGTTCGACCATAAAGAAACTTCAAGCGACTGCTTCATAGTGTTATCTCTTCATTTCCTTTGTTGTACTACGGATACAACGTTACACAATAATTGGACATGACAAAGTCACAATTCTTAAGCGCGAATATTCATCGACAGTTAATAAGACAGTTCGTTTCAGAGCGCGGGGCTTTAATATACACGCCCACCACCACCAACATGTGTATCGTTTTATACGTTTATTGTAATAGCGAGGCAATTCTTAGCAAACCAGAGGCACTATCTATCTATCTATCTATCTATCTATCTATCTATCTATCTATCTATCTATCTATCTATCTATCTATCTATCTATCTGTCTATCTATCTATCTATCTATCTATCTATCTATCTATCTATCTATCTATCTATCTATCACCACTTAAGCCGGAATCGAACCCCATAGAGGTCTATACCACAGATCCACGACCGCGCATGCATCTGCTTTGAAAAATCACCCTGTACAGGCGTGACGTCAAATCTAAGGCGTGTGGAGGTGGTGGTGTTTACCATCCGCTATCGTATAAGGGGAACTAACTTCCCCTAGGTGTGCTTGTGACTCTGCAAGCTAACGACAACATTCACAGGAAAAGAACGCCGACTATTTCTCCTTATGATATCCCCATCATCGCATCGTAGTGTGCACTTGATTTCATCAAAAGTGACTTTTGTACTGGGCTTTGACGCGAGTACCGACGTCACATCTCGCCATATTGGCAACACTCTACGAAGTTCTCACCCAAACTTTACACTTTTCGGCTTGTTGCACTCAATAGAAAAACTGGTGTTGGAGACTTTAAACGATCGTCGTAGTGTTTTGAAATTCACTGAATATATTTTTAATACTGTGAACATAAAAGAGCACTTTTGGTTTGGTATCGAGCGGGTGGTTTCGCACTGATGTGTCAACCCAAATTGGACGTCACGGGAAAACGGTAACTTGCGACATACTAGAAGCAGTTGTAGGCAACGCGTTATAAGTGATTGATGGTCCGTAATTAGTTACATTTTCTTTGAACTTTGAAATATAATCGATTGCTTTTTTTAATTCTACTGTTTTCGCTAATTGAACTATAATTTGTTACGAATTATTACTGCTGACCAGTTACTCTTTTTTTCCAAAATTGTAAGTGTTTCATGCTAGTTCATTCATGTACTGAAAAATATATAGCCCTTCTGTGGAGACCCCTTCCAGAGAGCATATTTTTTTCACGCCGACAACAGCGAAGTGCAGTACTTTATAAAGAACTTTAACGCTATAGCTTAGAAGCACCATGCGACTAAGAGCTGGTGCTCAATGTGTTTCTACGTTATAATTCTGCCATTTCCTCCAGCGAATGCATTGAGAAATTGTTTACTTTAGCAAGTTGTTTCTGAACGAGGAAACTAGGAACAATCTGCGACGACATCTTGCCCTCTTGAAATAAATACCATTGAAACTTTACAACATCTAACAGTATAACGCAGAAGCCGCAGTAAGCCTACCAGTCCTCA